CCTTAACTTTTGAACTTATAACTCTAAGTTTAGGACCTCAGGACTACATGTCCTTAACTTTTGAACTTGTAACTGTAAGTTCAAGACCAAGTGTCCTTAACTTTTGAGCTTGTTAGTCTAAGTTCAGGACCTATTGTCCTTAACTTTTGGGCTTCTTAGCCTAAGTTCAGGACCTATTGTCCTTAACTTTTGAGCTTGTTAGTCTAAGTTTAGGACTTCAGGACCTATTGTCCTTAACTTTTGAACTTGTAACTGTAAATTCCGGACCTGTTGTCCTTAACTTTTGAACTTGTTAGTCTAAGTTCATGACCTATTGTCCTCAACTTTTGAACTTGTAACTGTAAGTTCCGGACCTATTGTCCTTAACTTTTGAGCTTGTTAGTCTAAGTTCAGAACCAAGTGTCCTTAACTTTTGAACTTGCAATTCTAAGTTCAGGACCAAGTGTCCTTGACTTTTGAACTTGGAACTCAAAGTTCAGGACCAAGTATCCTTAACTTTTGAACTTGCAATTCTAAGTTCAGGACCAAGTGTCCTTGACTTTTGAACTTGGAACTCAAAGTTCAGGACCAAGTATCCTTAACTTTTGAACTTCTAACTGTAAATTCAGGATCCATAACGTAGCAGAAAACCAAACGTTATTTATATCTTTTCACAAATAAAAATAATAATAATTGCAATTTACATATAAGATTGATGTCAAATTACACAACAGAAAGCTAATAACAAAAAGAAACAACTTTATTTTTGAATTTTTTTTGATTTTTTTTTTTTTTTTTGAAAATTTAGATCTCTCAGTTTTCCAATCAAAATTCAATTCCATAAAATGGTAAAGGGTCCCATCAACTAAATGGAAACAGTACAGTCAAAACCACGACATATAACAAATAATAACTATCAGATTAATTAAAACATGAAGCCTAAAAAACAACAAGAACCTAACCAACCAAAAGAAAAAGAAAAATAAATAAAGTTGGAAAAGTGGTCTGCCTTTGAATTTAGGAAGTGGGATGAAGTTGGGGAAGAACTTACTGCATGGGGGAGAGAATTAACGAGTTTTAGAAATTTTGATCAGGAGAAAGGGTTTTGAAATTTTGATACAAGGTTTGGGATGGAAAAGAGATAGAAGAAAGGGTGACTTCGTCTTCTCATATTAATTTTAATAGAGTAGTGGCTACTTTTGCTCAACATTAAAAATACTGGATAAAAAGTTAATACCACTTTAAAGAGTGACTACCCCACGCCATTTCTACTTAATTTGCCACGGCTGGAGTTTCGATCTTTTTTGGGCTTCCCCTTTTTTGTTGGCATTTTAATCGCGGGCTAGCAGCATATGGATAGTAAATATATATTTGAGGAATTTACATAAAATACAATATTTTAAAGACTTATTTATAATCCCTGTAATTACTTTTAGTACAACTTATTTTAAATCTTACCTTTTTAATTAAACTATGTACAACTTTTCATATCCTAAAATTTCTCCCTTGAGATTTTCTCTCACTTAAAAGATATCTCTTTCTGATTCTCTCTCATATAACGTATCTATCACTATCAATTTTCTCCCCGATTTCTCCAATAAAAGATATTCCAGTATATTACAATCGTCTATCCCCCTTTTCTTCGTCCCATATATTCTGTATAGGTCAAAATAGATTGCTCAGAAAATCATGAACAGTGATAGTAGAGATAATGTTCAGATTGAAGAAACATTGAACTGGAAAAAAAAACAAATATTATTAACAAGTAATACACAATATAATATATACATATACTATGTATTAATGTATATTTTCTTTGAGATTTTCATACCTAAAACATATCTTTATATATCTCGCTTGAGATTCTCTCTTACCTAAAACATATATATCCATATTAAGTTTTTTTCAATTTCTCCATTAAAGGATTCGAGTATATCCCAATGTCCCAAGCCTCTCCCCCATTATTAAAAAATATATCTCCTGTATACTAATAATAAATATAGCATATAATATATTTTATAGTATAAATTTATATGAAAATATATATAAATATACAATACAACATACCTTCAGTGTATAGTATCACTTTAGTTCATCTGACGTATACGTTGAGGGAAAAAAAATATGATGTATACTACTAATAAATATCGTATACAATATATGATATAATATAAACTTATATGACATTGGTATAAGTATACAATACAACATACCTTCAGTGTATAGTATCACTTTAGTTCATCTGACGTATACGTTGAGGGAAAAAAAATATGATGTATACTACTAATAAATATCGTATACAATATATGATATAATATAAACTTATATGACATTGGTATAAGTATACAATACAACATACCTTTTATTGTATAATACCATTTTAGTTTATCGGATATATACCACTGTGAATATAATATACAATACATTATATAATATAAACTTATATGACACTTGGTATATATATATAATATACAATACTTCATATCTTTGTTATATGATGGTACATTAGTTCCTATTGAATTATTTTAGTATTAAAGTTTACATGCTATATATTGATTTTGATGTATTTTGTTTCCTTTTTTGGGCAAATTTTATTTAAAGATTATTTCTCCTACTAATGTAACGAATGGATTGTTTGTTGAGAATGTGGTTGAGAAGGAGAATAAAATAAAAATAAAAAATGAAGAATTTTTCGTATTTAGTTTCCTTATGGCCTTTCCTTATTTATAGGGATTGTGATAGAGTATTTTTAGGGAACAATTGATTTTATTAAATATGTTTTGATATTCAGTTTCTCATTTATAGGATGCTACCATATATAAGAGCTATTTCTTTTATCCTTTTACCGTGTTTAAGTTGTAGAATATGTTAATTACTTTATAGTTGTAGATTATGAAACATTTTACGATTCTACATGTATTTATGTAAACTTCCCATTTTTGGCTCGATTGTTCGAATTGAAATTGTCAATCAATAAATTTCAAAGGTGTTTGACTCTCCACCATTGACAGACATTAAAAAAAAAATTCGAAACCTTGAATTCAAATTAGGATTTTTTTAAAAATTTTATTTGTTTGGATTTGGTGTTATTGCAAACGATTGAGAATATTCTATGGAGTTTATATCTCGATTTTGAGGATATTTGGTGAAGATTAGATTTGATTTTGGTTGGATTTTCATATTGAAATTCGAAAAAGAAGAAGATGAAGAAGAAAAAGACGACATGATATATAATATACATATAAAATTGTATTAGAGTTTTATAATAGTTTTATGAAATTTGTATGTAAATTATATTTGTTCTAATTATGACTTAAAATAGGTAACACACAATTGGAATGAGTCTTGTTTAGATGGAAGGACAATTTGGACTTCATTCCCTTCAATTACGCCATTATTCAAGCAAAGAACTCCATAATTTAAGGCAATAATAATGAATTGTATATAAATTGTACGAAAAATTTGTTTAAGGCGGATAATGTACAAAATTTAAATAATTTTGGCAAATAGATTTAAAATATTGTATAGAAATGAAAAAATCCTAATGAATTCTATATTTAAACTCCCTATAAGAAGAAGAGATTACAACTCAATTGGGTTGATTAACCACGAAATCCAATTGGGCTGGTGCTTAGTTGGGCTATCTCATACGCGGCCCAACTTGTATGCACAAGGGGTGAAAATGACACCAGGTAGCCACTTTTATACATGTTGTTTAAAGAATATCCAGAATTTATAATGTATTTAAAAAATTAGTCATTTCGCTCAATCTTCAGGACACGACATCCTAGAGTTTAAATCTCAAAATTCAAATTTTAGAACATCGTGTCCTAAAGTTCGAAAATTGTGTTCATAAGTTAGAACCTTATGTCCTGAATTTTAAATTTATAGTTCAATAATTTAGGACACTTAATATTGAATTTCAAATTAGCAGCTCAAAAATTCAAAATACTAAGCCTTGAATTTCCAAATTCAGGAAACTTAGTCCAAGAGTTTAAACCTCAAAATTCAAACTTCACGATATCGTGTCCTAAAGTTCAAAAATTGTGTCCAGAAATTCGAATCTTGTATCCTGAATTTTAAATTAGTAGTTTAGAAATTCAGGACAATTAGTCCTAAATTTCAAATTAGCAGCTCAAAAATTCAGGATACTAAGGATACTTAGTCCTGAAGTTTGGGTGAATTGACTAATATTTAAATACAATGTAAATTATGAAAATATTTTAAATAGCGTGCTTAAATATGGCTTTTGCTGCACTTCGCCCTGCAAAAAGGCCATCATGGTAGAAATAACATCAGGTAGCCATTCTAGAGGGCTTCTATCTAAAAATTAGGCAGCGTATCTTGCATTTCAGTTTCTCAGGTCAATTTTTTCAGGATAGAAAGTCCTGAAATTAAGATTTTTAGTTCAAATTTTCTGGACAAAATAAGTACGGGCCAATTCCTAAATAACAACCCAAAGAATGGCTATTTATGTATGTAAAAATAGCATGGTATAGCCAGTTTTCAGACTGGTCATTCAAAAATAGCCAGCATTTACGAAGTCAATGAAAATAGCCATTATTTTGCTGAAACAGAGACCGGTCCAGAATAATATATCGGAGTTCGGTGCACCCACGTATGAACTCCAACATATTATGCTGAACCGGTATACTTTGTTGATTCCAGTATAATATACTAGAGATTGGAGCACCGGTGCTCCAAACTCCAGTATATTATACTGGACAATTATACTTGCTGGAACTCTAGTATATTATGTTGTAGTTCTAGTGTACTTATGCTGGAACTCCATCATATTATGCTAGAGTTCCAGCATACTTATCCTGGAACTCCAGTATAATATACTGGCGTATTTTTCGGGTTTGAACAGTGTTTTCGCTCGGATTTATCTTTACATGAAAAATGGCTAAATTTCGATTACTTTTGAAACTGAGCTATTTTTGAACGACTAGTTGTAAATCTGGCTATTTTTTAATTTCTCCCTTATGTATTTTCCCCACGGGCCATGTGTTCCATATCCCCGGCCCAGAACCACCCCCGTGCAAATTTCAGTTCGTTGAGGCAATAAAGCAAACAGAAGAGTATCTTAAAATTACACTCCCTACAGAATCAGAAACATCTAAGAAGAAAGCTAAAATTGGTAAGTTTTCTGCTACTTTCTCAGCTGTTTCATTTCTTTCTATATATATCTTTTAGCATTCTGCCTAACAAGAACGTGGACTTTTACTATTTACTCTTATTATTATCACTTGAAAACTATGTGAGTCGGTATTTCAAGTTGTAATCTTTAATGGGTGCTATGAAAGCTAACATTTCGAATTCGGTGCTTTGGTTTATCATGAATTAATGGGTGTCATTAAATTAACACTGTTCAGGTTATAAACTTAACATTTTGAATTTCGTTCTTTGACTTATAATTGGAGTTATAAAGCTGATTATCAAAAAAAATTATAATTGGTGTTATAAAGTTAATATTTTTAATGGATATTTTGAAAGTTAGCATTTTGCACCCTAGGGTGTGGCCTAGTGGTAACTGGTAGGTGAGAGCAAACCTTGGATATTAAGGTTCACACAAAGGACACTAAGTGATTCTTCCCAATATGCTAAGCCTTAATAGGCAGAGTTATCCGGTACTTGTGCTTGTGGGAGGTAGCAAGTACCAAGTGGAATAGTCGCAAGCTGGCGTTGACATCATCGTTATTTAAAAAAAAAATGGAAGTTAACATTTTGATTTTGGTTCTTTAGTTTTAATAGGTTTTATGAAAATTAACATTTTGAATTGGTTCTTTTATGTGGATTTTGAAAGCATAACGGGGCAATTTTGATGCCCTTTTGAATTCGGAGTTTTGTTGTTGTTATAAATCTGATAGATATCTTCATAACTGAGTAGTTATGGATTGAGTAGCACTTTCACTTGTTTCCTTTGGCATTATCCTGATTGGCAGGCAATAAGCTCCAGCAGTTTAGTTTCTGTTATCTAAGACTAGATCTGAAACTTCAATCTGATTCAATGGTAAGTTTGAAATAATTATAGTGGGTTGTGGATTGAGAAATTTATGTGGGACATTACGGGGTTGGGATCATTCTTGTCGTATGTAAGGCAATGATGTTTTCAAGGACATCATTTCGTGGAACAAGTAAGATAAGTATATTTTCAGGATATATTTTCAGGGCTAACAACAAAGAAACATCTCATATCAAAAGGCAAGGCATTCCAGTCAAAAGAGGTAGTAACACTTTCGCGTCATATGATCATATACTTGTGGAGAAAAGGCGTGTTAAGTCTTAGAATACCATAGACATGTGAGTGTTGGCTGTTAAAATAAGCCTTGTTATAAGATACATGGACTACAACATGTAAGTATCAGTATGTCAAGACGGGTACTTAAGGTACATTACTTTCTCTTCTCTACAAATTTGTTTATAGCACGTGGTTGTTAAGCAAACTTGCTGACAGTTTTTCATGTCAGAGACTTACAGTTGTCAACTATTTTACTCAGACTCGGCAGGGTAAACACAATTGTAATTGAAGGATAAAATGTGCAACGGCTATTTGGATTTAACAGATTCTTCAGACACTTGACAAACTTATCTTGGTGAATCTCCTAATACATAGATATGAAACAGGAAACATTGAGAATAAATGCCTAACCTTGATGCTAGTACATTTGTTATGAAATGGAATTGCTCTATAGGTCGTGCTACATCTCTTCGCCTTCTTTCTTTTGCATGTTCTAATCTCCTAAACTGCTTTTGCACATCCTAATATGTCGACTTATTGTAGGTTCAAAATGCAAAGCTTGAGATCCTCTATTCTGAAGTATGTGAGGGTTAGGATCCCATTGCAAGTACAGTTTCAAGCTGAAAATCGGAATGTGTTAAATATACTCAATTTGCAAATACGCACTTGCAGCTTTTCTGGTGCCACCAATCAGGATGAGATAAAAGAACGAGTGCTTAACCTGGTGAAGAAATTTGACAAGATTGATGCAACCAAGGTACGGTCATCTATTTTTGTTATCAGAGTTTTTCTCAAGCTTTCTTAACGGATAATGTCAACTCAACACTTCTTTTGTTGCAAACTATGAGTCAAATAGTGGAGCTGAATTCTAAATCTTTTACAGGTTAATGAGAGTGCTGATTTCCAGAAGGATTTGAGCCTAGACAGCTTAGATAGAGTGGAACTTGTCATGGCTTTCGAACAAGAATTCTCAATTGAGATACCTGATGAAGAAGCAGACAAACTTAAATGTTGTGCTGATGTCGCTCAATATATCATTTCTGGGGCTGAGAAGAAAGACGGGAAGACTTCATAAGTAATTTTTTAGTTAGCATCATATCATCGAAAAAGACAAGGTTTCTTCTGAACATTTCGCCTGGATAGTTTGTATGACAAGCTGTTGAGCCCAAGTATTACATCGTCCTCAACTTTCTTCTAGCTCGTCTTTCAGTTTTTGTGGATCCATGTGAATGTTTGCTACATTTACTCACCACAATTTAAGTAATTGATTCTGCAGTGAATATGCTTATATATTTCGTCGAACTTTTGTGCATCTGTATGACTATATGAAAGGCTACTCATATTCTGAGTGGAAATACATGTACCTGTTACACATCGTTCATACAAGAAACTTGTATTTACATCTCTCTCTCTCTCTCTCAAGAAACTTGTATCTATATATTTCTCTCACTCACACACATACATAATCTTGTCGTGGGAGGAATCACAAGACAAACTGCGGGCTAATACCAGCATGTTCCGAGCTAAATCCAACAACCCAATATTTGTGACTGAAGCGCCAACAGAATGAGTTGTTGGACATGCTCATTTTTTGCCCTAAATGATGCTTACAGTTTCTTGTTGCTTTTTGTCAACTCTCTTTCTGCACCTTTGTGAAACTTTAGGGGTCAGATGAATTGTATCTGTCGTGTAAGTACGGATGCCATCACCGATAGAAGTAAGCTCGAGTCCTTTGTGTTTTCCTCTAAAAGCATGTCCACAAATGGTGTTTCTTGGCAGATGTAGTACTTTAACTAGACATGTTTTTTCCAAGTTTGGAATAGCATGAAGATGAGAAGGAAGATCAATAAGGAATTCTCCATCTTCATCTGTAGTGTTTCTTGCCCATGATCTTCTTGCCTTTCCACTAGATCCACAGAACACAGCCACTGATGCACCTGAAATATGTTGTCACATATATGATTAGTAATGAAGGGAAGCCCTGGCGTAACTGGTAGTTGTTGCCGTATGATCATGAGGTCACGGGTTCAAGCCGTGGAAACAGCATCTTACAGAAATACAGGCAAGGTTGTGTACAATAGACCCTTGTGGTCCAACCCTTCCCCGTACCCCGCGCATAGCGGGAGCTTAGTGCACCAGGCTGCCCTTTATATATGATTAGTAGTGAAGGAGAGCCTTGGCGTAACGGATAAAGTTGTTGCAGTGTGACCATGGGGTCACGGGTTCTAGCCGTGGAAACAACATCTTGCAGAAATGCAGGGTAAGGTTGCGTACAATAGACCCTTGTGGTCCGGCCCTTCCCCGGACCTCGCGCATAGCGAGAGCTTAGTGCATCGGGTTGCCCTTTATATATGATTAGTAGTGAAGGTGAGCCTTGGCGTAACCGGTAAAGTTGTTGCCATGTGATCATGAGGTCACAGATTCGAGCCGTGAAGCATCTTACAGAAATACAGGGTATGGCAAATTACTGGAGATTTAGTATATGAATCCTCTATCTACGGCTATTAATTCAGCTTTCTAAGGACTAATGTTTGTTAAATTATTTTTACATTTTTTATCAACCTATTGCAAATTTTCTACTTTATCAAGTTACCGCAATACAACAACTAGTCAACTACTGCTGCTACGCTTCAGTTCCAAATGCCATATGATTTTTCACTGAACATATTTCTCCATGTAAACTCTATCCAGCTATGGAAATTCATCGCATATGGCGAGAAACCAATCCATTAATTTTAACACGAAATATAGATATATATATATGCATATGCAGTAATACTATATTGGCCTATTATTTTATTTTGTTTACTATTTTTTGTTCCAATAACACTATCCTTTGGTAGAATCCTACCTTACTAAAAACTCCATGCCACCTACCATGGGCGTTTTTCTGATATTTACGTTGATAGCCTCAAGTCAGTTCAAGCTACTACAAATGAATTACAGACAGAAAAAAAATACCTAATATTTTTTGTTTTCACTGAGAATTGAACCTGAGACCTCATGATTTTCAACCATGTGGAAGCAACGTGAGTTATCATATAGATTCTCCTACAAGTTCCAAAATTTTATATTTGTTCCTGCCTTTTCTTAATACTCTCTCTGGTCCACAATAAGTAACCAATTTACTTTTTTATTTTGGTCCAAAATAAGTGTCCATTTATATAATCAAGAAAAAATTCAATTTGTTTTTTCAAAATTACCCTTATGTACGTATCCCTAAAAAGTCATTTACTCCTCACATTTGAGAAGAGAATCAAGTACTACTATAACTAATTAACTATGGTGCAACATTTAATAAAGGGTAGTTTAGTCATACTAACTATTTTCGTCTAGAATTTAGTATTTTCTTAATGGGTATGCCAAAAGCAAATTGGTCACTTATTATGGACCGGGGAGTAATACCTTTTCTCTTTTCTGTTTTTTTTTTTAAACTTTACTTTTAGAAGCATAGGTTCAATAAATGCAATATCTCTCTGATATAATAACTGTTAAGGACTTTATTAAAAGAAAGTCATTTCTATGCAAAGAAACGTTCTAAATTAAATGAATCCTAATGTTCCATGAATGGAGTAAGTTTAACATTAAACTGAGTTTTATTGATGATACAGATCTACCTATTGTTTAATTAACAACACAAACTGTCCTAATTTAATTTTAGGACGTTTCAACTTTCAACTATTAATTATTTATCTGCAAATTAAAATGTTCAAAACTAGATAACTAGTACTATATATATACACGTAAAAATAAATTTGATAAATGTTGAGTTTTGGCTTCAAATATACAGTAACACAATTATGCATGCCATTGCACTAAGCTAAGAGAATTTTAAAGAATATTTCTATAGACAATTTATAATAAACTTGGACACATACATAATCCTAATGAAACGAACGATTGTCTCACTACACTTTTTCCAAACATTATTTTTAACAAGAAAAAATCATTAGTCCTAGAATAAGAAAGACACAGATTAAAGATCTACGTCTTTAAACTATGATGTCTCAAGTTCAAATACTAGCGGAGACACGCGGCTTTTTTTCATTTATCCAAATTTTGATGGACAAAATTACCAGATATTTGTGTTAGTGGAGGTAACAAGTACCTCGTGAAAAAGGCGGAGCCAGGGTTTGAAGTTTATGAATTCTGAATCTGCCGCCGAACTGGGTTCGCAGTTAAATATTTATACATACTAGTACTTAATAAATTTTCTAATATAAAATAGGGTCTAAGTAAAAACTATTGGGTTCATCCGAACCCGTAAACCATACACTACCTCCGCCCCTGCTATGTGAAATTATGCAAGGTGCATGTAAGCTAGCCCCGACACTATAATTATATTTATAAAAAAAAAGATTATTGAAGAGAGAAAAACACAAACCTGGGATAGGTCGAGGACCAAGTTCTGAAATCTCATCCTTGATATTATTATTATTACAGCCAGAATTATTATCACAAACAACTTTTCCATGAATAAAAACAGTTGAAAGCTTTTCTTCTCCATAACCAGCCATTTTTATCATATCTTCACTCATAATAATTGATTCAACTATAGAAACTCTCTCTATAGCCAAACTTTCAAGAACAAGAAATGAGAAAAAGAAGAAGAAAAACATAAAGATTTTGCTCATTTTTGTCTTCACAATTTTATTGTGTCCAAAAAATGTGCTGAAGAAAAAATTCATAATCTTTATATTGTTGATAATGAAAAATAAATAAAACTTGGTAAAGATCATATATCAGATGGAATGAAGAGAAAATGAAACGCTACCATCTTTGGTTTTATATAGAAGCTTTTGCATGGTTCACATGCCCTTTTCAATTACTTTCTTTATTACTACTAATATTACATTTATAACCTTGAGCTTCCTTAATTCAACAAGAAACCGAAATTTTAATTAATTCAGGCTTTTAACATTTAATTAGATGCTTAAATGCATTAGTGATCTATTAAAAAAACTCACGATCGTTAACTTTAATTTGTTTTTCCTCATTAACCACTTTTTTTTGTTTTGCATGTTATTTACGTATGAAAATGGGTTTTAATTTTTATATAGTGATACTGTAAAAGAATTTTTTATAATTATGACGTCAATTAAAATATAATTACATATACCGTCCATAAAAATGAGACTAATTAGAGCCCGTTTGGCCATGATTTTTCTTTTTTCGAAAATTTTTCACTTTTTTTATTTCTAAATCAGTGTTTGTCCATAAAAATTTCAATTTTCACTTGAGGATGAATTTTAGAATTTTTCGAAAATTTGAAAAACTTCAAAAAGATATTTTCTCAACAAAAAAAAAATCACTCAGATCACTCGCAGAAATTCAAAAACAACCAAAAATTATATTTAAGTCCAAACACAACTCTAATTTTCAAATACCATTTTTACTTGAAAAAAATATTTCATATTTTTCGAAAATTTACAATTCTTATGTCCAAACACCCACTAAGTAACTTGAAAAATAAGGCAGATTATTTCTTAAACATGATAATAATACACCTAAAATCATATAGGGTAGAAAGTATTTCATATAACCAATGTATATAAATTAAATTCAATGAACATCAACTCAAAATGTGGTGTTAGACTCTAATTCTTATTACATTGTACCAACCACTAGCTAATTAAATGTGCTTTCGAGTTTTTGCTTCTATGATCGGAATTTTTTTTTTTTTTTTTGAGTTCATGTGCAAGGAGTTATATATATATATGAAAAAGAAAAAAATTATAATATTCAACTAATATTAGAGAGAAAAGAGAAAAGGGTATTTTAGCCCTTTTAAGAAATGGTAGTAGTTGACATCATAAGATAGGGGTAAAATAGTAAAATCATTAATTTGAAAGAGGAAGAAATTTGAAGTTGGAAAGAAATATTGGAAGGTTAACTATCAGGTTGGTAGCCTAATTCTATCACTTATATATTTCTTTATTCATAAAAATAAAAATAAAATATAATTAAGGTATACAAAGCTTTAAAGCCCCACCAAGTGTTAATGTCTTCAACTACATTGAGCTCTTTGCAGGCAAGCAAAGCAAAATCTTTATTACTTACTAAAGAATTTTGAGTAGTCAACTTGTCAAGCTTAGGACAAAAAAAATTGTCAAACCTACCTCAACCATCTAGATCTTCACATAGGGAGAGTTGCGGGTACGGACGAAATCAGTAACTTTTGCTTAGACTTTATAGTCAGAGGTGGATTGATGATTTGAAGGTTGCGGGATACTTTTTTATTCAACGAAAATCTGCTTTGTATATAGGATGTCTATTATTAATATATTATTATTTTTTTAGGATATATACATATATATATGAAATTTTTATCGAACTTTTACGGGTGCTTGTGACCCTCTACCTATTGCAGAGGTTCGGCTTTGTCCATAGTTATATTAAATTTTTTATCAATTATATATAAATATTTGATTACGCTAAAACAAGCAATAAGTTTGATGATAAATTCTAAGCCTATAAACTTCAAATCCGATCTTCGTCTCTGAATGCAAAACACTAAAATATACGCACTTTTTTCCATTAAAATCTTTAGGTTTCTTTGCATCATAAAACATCCATAAGATAAGAGACCACTTTTTTGTTGAACAAATTCCACTAAAGTAAAAGACCGGCTCTCGGGTCTATTGAATTAAATCATCTATATTAGTATCAATTTTCTAGTTCCCTTCCTTTTCATAATTTAACAAATATTTAAACAATTACGTCAGTTAAAAGGTCAAATACTGCAAGCAAGGGTGGCGCAGAATTGGGGGGAAAATAAAAAATAGTCAGATTTATAACTGATAATTAAAAAATAGTCATAGTTTCAGAAGTAATTAAAATTTAGCCACTTTTTATGTAAAAATAAAATTTGAACAAATACACTTTAAAAATCTGGAAATATTCCACCATAATATGCTGGAGTTTGAATTTTTTTACATATAAGCTTCTAGCATCGTGTGTTGGAGTCCCAACATAATATACTGGAAGTTTATATGCAGGAGCTCCATAATCCCGCATATTATGCTGGAACTTTTTGTGTTTCAACAAAACAATGGCTATTTTTCAATGACTTTGTAAACGCTGTTTATTTTTCGGATCAATCCGAAAACTGGCTAGCCCGTGCTATTTTCACAACAGAACTGGAGACAAAGGGATTCAAAAATGTTAAAATGTCACAACTGAAAGTCAGTCCTTGACCTAAATATTTTTGTGATATACACACACATAAGTTTTACTTATACACAATATAATTTTCTGACAAATGAAATTTTATTCTGCCCTCGGGCCACTAACTGGTAAATATCTGGACAAAGTATGACTCAGTAACCTGGAAAAGAATGTAGATAACCTATTTTATAGTTATCTGGGAGTGTACAAAGGCTGAATATAAAGCTTAATATATTTTATTGTCAAACCTTGGCATTTTCCTTAGAAGAATTAGTTGTCCATTCAACTACTTAAACTAAAAATAGCCGGTGGATATATAATATATGCATATTTTATATATTATGTGTATAATTGAATATAATTATTGTATAATGTATGTACATGGCTAAAAAAAAGTAAATTATGAATATGATCGGCTATTTGTGTAAAGATTTTTATGGCTTGAGTATAAAATATGATAATTGATAGAGATACGATTTTAAATGAGAACAACTAAAGCAACAAAGAAAGTAAAACATGATAGACCTGCGATAAGATTATGCTAGATTAAAAGCACACTGGCTATTTTCATTTGATACTGAGTAAGGACATTTCAACATGAATTGGTAATTGTTTGCAGTAAAATAATGTAGAATACATAATGCTCTCACTTGTCCAAGCCAAGAGTTTGCCACAATTTCTACTGATTCTACTCCTAATTTTGATGCGAAACCAAGTCTGGAATTATTCTATGCAACAGCCAACAGTTCCCAATTGCTCATGGGCAGGACAATGTAGTAATTCATGCTCATTGTGGAGCCGGGACAATCTTCCCCGAGCATCTTCCAAAACCAACTTTGTATCCATTGCCCTGATAATAAATTGCAAATCGACTAGTATCAGACTAACAATCTCTGCATAATGTTGAGATCACAGATAAGGATAGCAAAATAACACCACTTTGGCATGGAAGGAGGAATTCAACACAAGGTCCAAGGACTCTTATCAAGAATCAGTTGAGCCACAATTGCATCTCTAAGAAATTTCATTAGGGTACATTTGCCATATTCACTAGATTCCAAAAGCGCCTTTCAGATAGCATTTATATATAAAACACAAGTACAAAGGATAGGTAACATGGAAAGAGACCACAGACAACTGAATCTCCCAAAAGCAACAAATTATAACACTGCCATAAAATTCACTCTTCAAGTATAAAGTGAGAAGTGAATTGCACCCAAAAAAAAAAAGGTTGAGAGATTCTCTCAGAAAAGAGAATGAGAAAACAGGAGGGTGGTCAATAACAATTGACGACATCAACCTAGAGAGTGGAAATTTTGAAAAAACATAATATAATGGAAGTGCTCATCCCGTAACGGAAAACCAACATTGCACTAAGCAGATTTTCAAAATTTCACTCCAAATCAGAATTTGTATGGAGCATAGATCTTAAAAGAAGATTGAAAAAAATTAAAGAGAAATAAAGAACCACCACTTAATGTGCCAGTTTCCTGCTCTTATTCTTTTTTTTTTCCTGCTCACTCTTTTTAGGTGAAAAACTAACATCCAATGTCTACTCAGACCCTGGAAAAGAATCTCTAACATCTTATCTTTCCGGAGCGCTTGTAATTGAGTGTGTACACCATCAGCTACGGCCAACAAGGTACAAGCACGGAAATGGGCAAAGAAGGAAAGAAAAGGAGTACCTGGCAATAACCAAAGAAAGTTACTTCATCTCCATCTTCTAAGAATGTACGGGTAATTCCACCTAAAGACAGAGGTTTCTGTCCATTCCATGTCAATTCAAGCAAGCATCCATAGGATTCTGGTTCCTGGAGACGAATGGGCAAATAATAACATCAGTAAATAGTAAATGCAAGCAAATTATTCAGTAAACAGTAAGATGACAAGTCAATAAAACAAGGAAAGTTGGAGCAAGGAGCTGTAGAGGCATCATGCTGCTGAGTAGTAAATCTTACTGGTCCACTGATAGTTCCAGTTCCAAACAGGTCCCCAGGCCTTAGGTTGCAACCATTGATAGTATGGTGTGCTAGTTGTTGTGTAATCGTCCAATATCTGTATCACAGGAAAATCATTCAGCAATGCCATGGAGAAAAAAGAAATTCATGAAGTAAAGTTTCCTTTAGATTTATGTGTGTGTTACATCTCGTTCTAAACTTGATTACCCTTGAACTATTCAGCATTTGAAGAACCAGAATCCTCAAAAACTAGATGCTAAATGTTCTTGGACAATTTATTTTTTTTTGGCATCTAGGGGGGGGGGGGGGCTTG